TATCCTTTTGGTTTGTAATCATATTTATTATGTTCAGTTGGTATTTTGGTGGCTCAAAACAGTAATATCTCTGTTAGACACCTGGGCTCTAGCATGCACTTTGGCATGAGGCATCGGCATGAGGCATCACAAGATCAATCCTTATCCACAAACCTAATATCTCAAAAACTGAACTAGTGTCCCTACTTTTTTAATGCAAAAGATTATTCAACAGCAAAAGAGGAATTCACATGTGAAATTGTAAAAAAAAATTGTGGAGTGGAATTCTTCCAGCTTGAAAATTTCCATTTTTTTAATTTAAGCAAAATCTACTCCTGACCACTGAATTTTTTTGACATCTTTACCCATTTCTTCTTCTGTGGTAAAAAGATTTTAGAAAAAAATGGGGTCACCGACTTAGTTTTCAAGATAGATGCAACTGACGCTGAAAAATAAGTCAAGTTTGTTGCTATGCAACAGATTAGCACAACCTTAATTTATGGCTTACACACAATGAAAGTACGGTGGAGAGTTAAAAATTGCACAGCCATCCAAAACAACACTAGTTAACAGTTCCAAGCATGAAAAATTGCACTTAGTTCTACAAGTCTAAAATAAAACCCCAAAAAACTGTATTGAGCCACCTTAAATGTTCCCATGGTTTGTACAAGCTAGTCTTGCTGCATCGTCTGTAATATATTGCATGATTCAAGATGGATTTATTTGCAGTATCTCACTGAAATCCTGGAGGGGAGGATGAGGTGATAAGAGACCATGGTGTTAGACAAGAAACAGTAAAAATTACAAAATGAAGAGCTCTGAAGTTAAATTATTTGCTCATTTATTTATTTTTTATTTGTTTCTCTGTTACTCTGCCACAATTAATTGAGAACTAGAATTTAATGAAATGGCAAGCACCAAATAGTTTCAAATACCAGAATGAACATTGGGCACATTCATTTAAAAAGTGGCTAGCACACCTGGCAATAGATGGGCAGTTTCCCTTGTTTTATATCTATATTTAAAGTTAAGGTTCTCAGGCAACTGATCAATCATCAGAAGTAGGTTCAGACAACTGCATGAATCCCTTGCTGATAATAGGCAACTGAATTTAAAATTGAGATAACACGCCAATTTTAATGTGCTCTAGTGCTTATATCAGCAAGGCTCTTTGTTTATGCTGATGTT